TTGAATAGCAAAAGTGTTGCACAGCTTGTGCTGGAAACTTACTAGTGAGGTTTGTGTACAGGTTAGCATTATGCTTCTCWGAGAGAGTGCTTCAAATACATAGGTCAGGGTACAAATCTAGGTACTTGCAGCAAGAATGTGTTGGTCTGTTGGTTCATCTGATTAGGTTTCTGGTGGATTTTTTCTTTGGTCCATATTATAGTCATTATTTTCTTAGGGCAGTGCAGGAGAGTTGCAAAATGACTCTTCTGTGTATAATTCTTACAGTTTCAAGTGAAGCTTCAAGATCAGCCTCTACCAACAGCAATTGGAGAGTACAAAAACCACCCTCTCTATGCACTGAAGAGGCACCTCTTGAAATACCAGGCCATCTATCCTGAGTCAGCTGCTATCCTGGGATACTGCAGGGGAGAGGCTGTCTACTCCAGGTGAGTTGTGCATCTGTTGTCATCTGCATCTCTGATCTTTGTAACAAAGAGCTAATTTGCATGATGGTATCAGCAATGTCTTGGGCCACATGCATAAACAGGCATTTAACTGCTCTGACAGCATTTGGGTATCGCTAAGATAGAGCTTTTTTATTATTCCTAATATGATAGGAAGTCTCTTGTAGATCTGTTATGGATCCCTTGAAAACKCTTACGTTTGCTTCTTTCGGGCCTTTTTAGAGACTGCATCCACACGCTGCACTCCAGGGACACTTGGCTAAAGCAAGCTCGGGTGGTGAGGATTGGAGAAGTGCCTTACAAGGTAAGAGGGCAAATTTGACTTCCTCCTGTGMAATCCACCTGCCCTCTAAAGCTCAAGCTCAGTTCTGTTTTGGTTTTTGTCTTCTCTCTGCCAGCGTATGTAGATTTCACTCTTTCTTGCATCCACCTTCTGTGCCTATAGTTCCTACATGCTCCCCAAAGCCCAGCTTTTTCTCACCTCAGTCTGGCAGAGCTGCTCCCTTTTTCACTTTCTCCCAAAGCACCCCAGTGTTTTATATGCACTGCTGGATCTCTGTTGCCTACAGGTGGATTGTCATTTWTAGGCAATGGATATTGAAGCTAGGAAATAGCTTTTCTCCTCTTCCAGCATCTTCTCCTTCGGTGTCCTAGGAAAACCTGAAACTGCTGTCAGCTTTTTGTGATGTTACAGGTCTGGTTGTATTTGCAGATGGTGAAAGGATTTTCCAACCGGGCGAGGAAGGCGCGCCTGGCAGAGCCGGCGAACCGGGACCGGGAGGACCTGGCACTGTTTGGCCGCTGGCAGACAGAGGAGTATCAGCCTCCCATAGCCGTGGATGGGAAGGTAGCTGGGAAGGCAGAGGGCTGGGGCTGAATGGTTTGTGCAGAGCTCTGGGCTTTGTTTTTTCAGAAGTTGCATGTTACAAGAGGTGAGATCAGTCAGTAACATCTGGATTCAGGATAAAGAGTTCAGAGTTAACTGTACYCAGGAGGAAATGGTTAAAACTCTAYCMAGGCCTTTCTTTCACARGTACARCTASTGAGTGCTGGCAGTACAGACTGCTGAAGTTACTATTTCGTTGATCTAATTTTCCTAGCCCTAGTTTGCTTTGCTAATTCTCTGCATTAAAGCCTGAGTAACAAAGCCTGGGCAGAGGATATAGCTAGAAGATAATCGTGCAGCTGAAGTCTAGGCTTGTACCTTGTTATGTCAATATTAATCAAATATTGGAGTGGAATGTAGGAGGTGAGGAGGGGAGTCCCTGAGTTGCAGCAGGGATTTTCACCTCTCTCCAGAAAGCAGGGGTATCACCATCTCTATTTTTGCCATAACAGGTTCCTCGGAATGAATATGGAAATGTGTATCTCTTCCTGCCATCCATGATGCCTGTTGGCTGTGTGCAGCTGAAACTTCCAAACCTGAACAGAGTGGCACGGAAGTTGAACATTGACTGTGCTCAGGCCATCACTGGATTTGATTTTCATGGMGGCTACTCACACCCAGTGTATGTAAAAGCTGCTTTGTTTCGCCTGTCAGATGTTGATGTCCTTGGGAAATTTTGTATCTTGTGTTAAGGGGAGCATGTGACCAGTTACACACTTTAATCCTTTGACACAGACAGTTCTGTCAGTATTCAGTGGCTTTTGGGCTGGGTCAGSAGGCATGTGCTCCCTTTCTTTTTCCTTCTTGTAGCTGACAGGATTGTGTTCTCCCTCCTAGTACTGATGGGTACGTGGTGTGTGAGGAGCATAAAGATGTCCTTATTGCTGCCTGGGAGAATGAACAAGCAGAAATGGAAAAGAAGGAGAAGGAGGTGAGAATTATTTTTGCAGCTTCCTTATTGTTACATTTATTAAGCAAATTTCATGGAAACYGTGGGCAGTCAAACAGGAAAGGCTGTATATGACAGGTTTTATTTTTTTTTTTATGGCAGTTTAAAAATCTTCAGGCTTTTCTTTTCCACAAGCATAAATCCATTGAAACTCAGAGTWGTAAATTTTTCTCTTTCCAATAACAATACCCTACAGAAGCGTGAGAAAAGAGCTCTGGGGAATTGGAAGCTGCTGACAAAAGGACTTCTCATCAGAGAGAGACTGAAGCAACGCTACTCCATCAAGGTATTTATTCTTCATTTCTGTTAGTCATTTCTTTTTCTGGATGTTATTTTAACTGTAGAATAGAATTTCCAAAGTGTAGTTGCTCRAAAGTCTTCACCTAGTCAAAAAAACTAAACCAGAAGTTCAGTGTGGTCATGTTCATCAAAGATTTGTACTATTTAACAAGGGATGAATGTTTTTATTACTGTTTTCTGTTTTGACATATCCCCTTCCTAGATTTATTCCTCCAAGCCARGCATGTAGCTAACAGGATGAGAGTGGGGTACTTTTTCATATAAGTTAGATGTTTTAGTTCTTAGGTTTTCCCCAAGGAGAAAAGTGAAAAACCTGATCTTTTTAAAGCAGGTTGGTTATATTCTTCCATTGTCAAAAATGTTTTRCTTGTGTTGAAAGAATGTTTGATGTTCAGAAATAGAAGCACTTTGGGTGAGAAGCCCAAACCAGAGCAACCAACTTCTGTAAGATCACTCAGTGTCACTGTGACCAAAGAAAAGCCCTTTTAGAAAGGGGGAGTTACAGGTGATTCCTAGAATTTCTGATTTTCACACCTCTTTTTCCAGACTGAGCCATCAGGACCTGAGACAGAGAAAGGAGAGGGATTCTCTTCTGATGAAGAAGGAGCCCCAAACTCTGAGAGTGCAGTGGAGAACACGGCCATGTATTGGCCCCAAAATCGCCAGTTAGAGAAACAAGAAGAGAAAACAACCAAAAAGAGCAAGCGAGAAAAGAGAGGAGAAGCAGCTCARTTGTTCCCTTTTGAGAAATTGTGATGACAAGCTTTTCTTTGCTTTTTCCAGAGGCAGGAAAAATAGGCACGGTAAAAGTATCCAAGGGCCTTAGGTCTTCCTGTGCACTTGTGTTTCTGACCTGTCAGTGACCAACCTAATTTAGTATCCACTTTCCTTTGATATCAGTTAGGTTCTTCCTTTTRTCCTGGGACTTGGGAGAAGTAGACATGGAGCTGCACCTTTTGAGATCACTTTGCTTTGTTGGGGTTTTTGCTCTCTTTTGTATAACTCAGCACTAATAGTTGAGTTTCCTGAGGCACTCCTGTCATTGTCAGTCTCTTTGCCTCTTTTTCTCAATCCCTGCTTGCTCAGAACTAAAGCATCCAGCTGCTTTTTACCTGCTGCAGAGGTGGCCAAAGGAAAGCTGATGCCTGCTTTGATCCATAGCTTACCCAAATCAGTGGTGAGGTAGAGTTCTGGCCTTTTTGTCTCAAGGGGAAATACTACCTGTAATGTCTAAAGAAAATGGCCTGCAATGAGAATATGGAWGAATCAGTACTTTCAGTTTGTGATGCAAATTTGGCTTTTCAGCCTACCATCTTTACTCTCAGAAATCTTGTGCTTTGGAAGGGAGAAGCCTTGTCCTTTTTACAAACTTTGGTAGGCTTATTGAACCTTAAGTAATGAATATATACATATTTGCTTCTATTGCTTATCAAGATCTGTTCTGGAGCAAACAAGCTGAATGTCACTGCTGGAAACAAAATTCACTAAACCCACAGAATTCTTGTTATGCAGTTAGTAAACATTAAAATAACATTATTTTAATGTTAGTAGCATTAAAAAGCTGTTGAGAGAGGAATATTAAATCTATATAAGCTTTTTCTGCACTTTTGTAGTAGAAATACTGACCTATCTTTAGCAGTTTTATGTATCTAAATTACACTGGCACAATCTTRTCAAAAATAGAGGGGAAAACAATTTATTCATTGCTGGACATTGTCACAGAGGAAAGATTGAAATGTAAAAAATGGCTTTCATGTAATTATGTTCAGAAAAAAATCTATTTTTGTACTGTATTTGTAGATTAAAATAAAGTTTGAAAAAAAGCTTATGTTATCTGTTTTCTGAATGCGCACGTAACCCCCAGACTCGTTAAAAATAGAAGAGGCTGTAGCAGTCAGGTTGAATCATTGTTTTTTTCAAAAATCAGAGAGGCAAGGAAATGACTGATTTCAGTGATCAGCAGTGGGGAATGAAACCATGGCAGGCTGGCAGCAGCCTGGCATCACACACCAGTGAGGAGAGAGCAGATAGTGCTGTTAGGGGGAAATGTCCTGGACATAAAACATGCAATACCTGAATTTAATAAACAARCCTACAGACCAACTTTTTGGAAACTATTTTATTAAATATACAAAAGCTCAGCACTTCTGTAGCAAATTGTATCTTCATGTCCAATATGTAATGCTGGTTAGTGTTCTGCATTGTGGGTAAAAGAGTAGCAGTTCAAACCCCTGACTGCTGGAGCATGAGTTGGTGCTGGTGAGTAGCAGGAACACTGCAGTACCACTACCATGTGCCAGCTGCATGCACAGGGCCACCTCCTGTACCCTTTCACTCACTGCTCCTGCTTTTGCCAGCAAAAGAGACCAATTTCACAACATCCAAATATCAAAATAATTGAAGTACTCACTAATAATTATGATTTCTCAAAAACATTTCTGATTTCTAACTCAGAGTCATATTTGAGTACCATTTCTAGCAAAGGTTTGCTTCTATGTATGTTCAAGTTCCTTTGGTAAAGAAAATACTCTGCTGAGGATCATAAACAGATTTCATAATTGACATTATTTTTGTACTGAATTGTGAATACTTACAAAAACCCCCAAAACAMAGTCGTGTAGGGAGGGCCCATCTGGAAGCCAGACTCCAGGTTGGTGGACAGACTTGAGTGTCTCCACCTCAAGTACTTATTACAGCAGAAGAATGTAAACATGAGCCATCACAACATTACAAGGCATTCCTCTAATATGATACAAAACTCACAATACTAAAATCTAAGAAAATCAATCAGGCAAAAATGTTTCCATTACTTAATTTCATGGAGTATGTTCATTATCCTTACTAAGTGAAATTCAAGAAAGGAACAGTATACACAGCAAAAAAAMCCCAACTATTTTAAGGACTACGCATTCAATTATAAAAAATATTATTTCAAGGCAGCCAGTTTTATATTTACAGGTGAATGACCTCTGAATACCCCTTCATGTGCAATCTGAAGTGAAATTTTTGAAATAGTTCTGCAATGTTATAGCCCAGGCTATCATTTTGGATGCCTAACCAACAACTACTTGAGAGACTTTTAAAACCTGGGGGAAATCAGTATTTCYTGATAAATTCACCCAACCTCAGAGCATTGCTAACCTGGCCACTCATTACATCAACGACTTTGAAAATCCTCAGTCCAAAAGCAGAGGGTTYACATGAGAGCTGTGTGGAATTTACCTAAGCTGTGTTTTCCCTTTGGACACACACTGTCAAACACATAAGCCAAAGGAGTGTTCCTGACTGTGCAAACAAGAAAAGGCAGCAGAAGGAGGGTTTGTCAGAGACAGGTACACACAAGTATTTCCTCAGAATATCTAACCACAGTCCATGGGATGCAGCTGGCACTTTCTTCAAAAACACGAGGTGCCCCACCCAGCAAGACTTGCCAGTTCTCAAATGAGGGGGAATTACTAAGCAGTAAGAGGTTCAAATCTGCTTGTTCGCTAACTTACCATCAATACACTCACACTCCAAAATGCTTTTTYCCCCAACCTAGTGTCACTGACTTTCCACAAACAGCATCCCATAGTCCTATGGATAACGTGTATCAATACCCACATTCAAGCCCCCTCCCCAGCTCTCAGTGCTCGCTGCTGAGCTGTGATTTGCTGTAAGCTTGCTGCAGGAACCAGGACAGAAATGCACTTGAGAAGGTTCTAACCAGGACTCAGCCCAAGATCCGACCACCTCCTCGTCACTGCTGCTTCTTGGGGGGMACACGGGACTTGGCCACCATGATGGGGACTATGGAGAGCAGCGCGAGGAGCAGGGCCCAGAGCGGGCGGTAGAAGAGCCATCCCACGGAGATGGTCAGCAGTGACAGCGAGCTGGCCACACACAGGGCAAACGCCTTTAATCCAATGTTAACCAGGTCCCTCACAACAGGAAACCAGTCCACTGCAGAGAGAATTAAACATGGCATGAAGTCGTTGGCAGTATGAGAGCTCAAATGGAAGTCTGATTCATGCCTAGGATCTGCCCGCTAACAATTGCAATCAAAAGACAGACTCAAACTATTTATGAAGAGCATTGGATCAGACATTTCAGCAGAGTATCCTCAAGGCATCTGATAATTAAGCAACAGCTAAACATCTAAGAGCAATGCTAACCTCAGCTCTTCAGACAGGAAGTAATCCAAAATGAAKTCTGAAGATTTGTCCAAGGCTTGAGAGGCAGAGGAGACAGCCCTTCAGCTGTGGAACAAGTCTAGGGCAACTGATACAAGYTGCTAGCACAAAAATTCCCTTCTGGCAATAATRAATCTTRGAGTASCATGTTTTTGGATAAATAAATYAGAAAAMAACGTTCACAGCTACAAAGYRAACRATATCTTTGATGTCTGAGGTTTACWCAAGTTTGAGGCATTGTCCTGCTTTTCTGTTTGTACTCCAGCATTTTTCTGTAYTAAAAGGATAAACAAAAAACTTTCTTTGCTGTTTGTTTACAACATTGTAATAGACACAAAGTCATATTTCTATACAAATGTTGACTAGGACCTGTTGGGGGGGGACCAGTTGTGTGTGGGTGCATAAATTAATTGTATTGCAGCTCCTTGAGTTAGATTCCAAAGAAGCAGCCCAACATGTGCTTCATCTTCTGATTTGGTAAGTACTGGGCTGGGATCTTCTGAGATTGGCAAAATATTTGTRTTAGGTATTTTAATGTTCACAAAGCAACCAGATGGTTTTGGGGTCCTGTACAGTGACTTTTCAGATGAAATCCAGTCTCAGTTCAAACCAGAACTCCTRGTCTCCAAATGTATTAACTCTCTACAGGTTAGGATCTTATTTCTACATATTTATATCTTACTGTAATAAACTTACCTAATGTGTAAAAGATTCGGGTCATCAGACTGATGCCCACAAACATGGAGAGCCAGCCTGCTCCACGGAGGGCCCASGTCTTCATGGTGTTACTCTGATGCTCCTTTTGAAACACCTCCTGAAAGGAAACACCATGACATGCAGTCTGTTTCTTGTTCTTTTTTTTCAAGATCCCCTTAATTCCAGTATATTATGAATCAATCAGAGCCAAGAGCATGTTAGGAGTACAATTTCTCTTGTAGAASATACACTGCAACTCATTCTGCAGGGTTTGATTGTGCAGTATGGCAGTGCTCTGCAATAGACTGAACAGTGCAGCATGGGAAAACTGACACTTTTCTTAATTAAAACAACCTAAAAAGCACCATTCAACACTAGCCACAGGCAGAAGCACGCAGGTTTTGCTGTAATTGGATACATGCAACATTACTGTGGAAAATGAGCACTAGTAAGTAACTGCAATAAAGAAGGAAGAGTCTGAATTCACCCCGTAGAGAGAAAAGGCAATAATATCCACTGATGGCTGAAGGAAAGGTGTGTGAAAGAGAACAAGCTGGATGCAGGGAAGAAAACCTAAAAGGTATATCCACATTTCATCAGGTAAAGCAAAGCTTCTATTTACAAGAATTCTGAGTAAGATTTTTTCAAAATGGGTTGTGATCCTCTGGCTCAACAAAACATTCACATGAAAAGATGGGACATTAGAAAGCACTAAATGGTCTAAGAGATATGTAAGACTGATTGATTACTTGTACATACAAGTACTCAATTAATTATTTCTAACCAGTTAATTTTCAATGAAAATCCTATCTAATGAAGATTCAAATCTTACAGCAGAGGGTTGATTCTACTGCTACTCTTTCAAGTCAAACAAAGCCTTTTTGACTGCTTTTGGGAGCCCCTGTAAACTCTTGACATCTGCTTTTTTTACAGCAGGGCACAAAACAATCATTAAAGGAAACAAATCTACTAAAAGAAGTAAATGAATCACCAAATTGCTGGAGCATGCAGGATTTATTGGAGCATAATGCTCTGCCTGAAGGTTCTTTCTCAGCCAGAATAGTAGTAAACATTTCAAACAAACCTAAACTCCTGTTATTAGGAGCTGAAGAGAGAATAACTCTTATGGTTTATTTAATTAAACCCTGACTTTTACTATTTTTACATGTGACCTGTTCAAAAGCATGTGCTTGCATTTGTAACTGGGAAACAAMCAAGGAGAAAATAAAAGCAAAATGAGAAGGCACAGAAACAATCTTTAAAGCAAACACACAGAATATGCAGAAACCTGGAAGCAAACAGGCTACAACCTGTTGTCCTAGAAGGAGTAAGAAAAGCCAGTGTTTATCTGAGTATCTCCTCTGCACAGCAGRTCTGAAGGAGAGTAAGAGCTTCCTCTTCTGCTGCTTCTGCACTACCACCTCCAGTATTAACCCTTCACTAGTAGAGTGTGGTATCCCACCTCCACAGAGAGATCCCCAGGGTACAGAATCTGTAGAACATCTCCAGACTTGGTATGATAGGGAACAAGCTGATCACCTCGCTGGCGAGCAATCACAGTCACCTTGAAGAAAGGGAAAAATATTTACTGGTTACTGAGTTAGGAACAGAGCCTGCAAAATACAGAAACAGCTGAAGGCTCACCTTATCAGCAGAGCCCAAATAAGGATCATCTCCACTCAGACCTGCATAGAAGAAAGARACACGAAGGTCTCCCACCTACAAACAAGAGAAGATTGGAACTCAATAAAGATTGTTTTACAAAGGGAATCGCAGGAAAGACAACTCACCACTGGAACATCCTTTATTTATCAACACTTTTTCTGAACATTTATGTCAAGCCAGAGGACAGCCAGAATAGTTTCCAAGCTGTACTTTTTTCAGAGGTAGCTGGCAGCTGAAACTGGAGAGCTCAAATGCTGTTTTGTAATATCCCCTCTGATTAAGCTGCAGGAGCACATGATAGGCTTTGTTCAATCCTTGTCATTTCATCTTTTGGCAAAACAGGGCAGGTGGCATAATCTGACAAGCTGTTTGATTGTACTCCTCAATGCAGCAAGCAGAGGCAGAACCCACCTCCCAGCACCAACCCTTTCCATTTAAAAGCAGAGCAGACCATGAAAACAGAAAACAAATATGTGGGATCAGAAGCTTCCTGCAAGAGCAGCACTCATTCTGAAGGGCTGCTCTAAGGGAGTCATCCTATGTGATGGTCTGCAYTCTACTTTCTATACATTTAAATAGAAATGGGACATGCCCCAATTCCTTTTTCACACACAACTCATCACTTCTTTGGTTTATCATTCCCATCTTACTTCTGGACGCCTGGGGTTGTCACTGTGATAAAAGTAATCTCCTCCTCGGGTCACATCAGCATGGGGATCCTCCAGGTGTGACAAGCTCAACTGCTTGAAATCATCAATTTTATCCACGAGACCTAAGCAGAATTTAGCATCAAGCTGAAGCCCAGTGTCTAACCTGGAACAGCCAATTTGCTGGCTGGCTTCCTGATTATCACTTGACATGACAGCTATTGTGGAAAGAACCAAAGTCCACTGCTGATRCAACAGCAGACACAAAGCCAGTACAAAACAATCCTTACCCTTGGAAAGAACAAAGCTGCCAACTTGGACATTAGGAGAAACAGCAGTAAAAGACTCCACAGCCATGGCACTGAAGAACATAGAGAATCCTTGATTAGTTCCAAAATGATGATCAAACTCTTGATTTGCAAGACGTAAGCACAGAAGAGGTACTATAGCAAACATCAGGAGAAACTCAAAGAGCTAAATGACTGTCACGATGTGAAAACAAATCCATCAAGAATTTGTGTTTATACTGCATACTGTTGGAGCCATTACAATAAGCAACACAAGGCATGACTGCTCTGAACTGCTCTAATTTCTTTATGCCTTCGTTCTCCCAACAACCAAAGAACGTCAGTTTCTATCTACTGCAGTGTTCTATGAAATTAATCATTTAGCATTCATCTTGGATCAGATCCAGTGACAGAATTCAGAGGGACTGTGCCAGRTGGTACCTTACCTTGGGTTTTTGTGTCCAATTTCTCGATCAAAGTTTCTGCTGTTCACAACTTCTGATTTCCACTCTGTATCTAAACAGAATGATAAGAAGGTTGAGGAAAGGACACTCAGATCTCAGTTATTGAAGACACTGTCCTTCATTCCTGTCGTTCCCAATCTCCTCCCCAGTCCCACTGATGGGAGAATAAGCAAGCAGCTGTGTGGGTCCATGGCTGGCAGCCAAGGCTAACCCACCACAGCTAATAATATACAGACATTAACTGGAAAGAATCCATCAATCTTGAGAGGACAGCTGTTTTTTCAGATGGCACTTCTTTTTGTTCCCTGTTACTGTAAGTCTGTCACAACCACCAGCTTTGCCTCTTATGTATCTCCATGCTACAGGGTCCCCATGCTTCACTGAGCTGAGCGTTTTTATATGATCACACCCAGAAACTGCTGCACACCCACGTTACACATCCAYGTGCTTTAATCCGAGATAAATGAAGCACAGACACCAATCTCCAAATACATGATGACTCAGAGTACTTTCCTGCCACTGGGTAGATCAGAATAATGCACCCAGTTCTGCTCCTGCCAAAWGAGCACTTGGCAAAAGCCACAGTGCACATCAGAAGGTGCTGGTGTTTTCACTGGCTGGTACCAACAACTAAACAGGTTCTCAACAGGCTCCCTTACAGGCTGGAGCTACCCTGCTCTTCCCTGTCTATTCTCTTCTGCTCACAGCTGACGTATTCCCAAGTACTCCATGCCTGAAGTGCAATCTCAGGTCTAGCTTTGAACACACTCCCATCTAAGCCCATCTCCTGTCACTGAGGATCTCAAAGGCCCCGTCTCTGGAGCATTCTACCCCTGGATGTTTCTCTGAACCGCTAAGAGTTCCAAAACAAGACTCAGATTTTCTGTAGCACTTGCTTGCTGACAGCACATCTCTTTTTACCTGAGTTACCTCAAGAAAGGGAGGTTCCRTCATTTGTTTAGGAAATAGAATTTTTGCTTATTTCTTAACATTTCTTTCCTTTCTTTCCCAAGAAGAAAATACAAGTTTTAGAACAAAAATCAAGATACACATACACATGAAAGTCCAAGGTCACATGAATAAAAGGGACTTTCTGTTGATCAACTTACTGTATGAATACTTGGTCTCTTTCTTAATCTCACCATTCTCTTCATATTCCCTGCAGAGAAAAAGGGCTGGGATGAGAACCAAAACAGTGCACACACACCCCTGCTCAGGGCACAATACACYTTGCCAGTGAAATGCACAGATCAAACACAGACTGGCAACACAAACTTGTCTTTTATACATAACCTAGCACTTCTCTGAACTACCTGCTCTGAACACAGAGATTATCTGTACAAGGAGAAAATACACACAAATGGTAAACAACCACAACCCTTTCATTCCCGTGTTTCCAACAAGRAGGTGTTGACTAGATTGATGAGGAACAACCAGAATTAAACACAGTGAGACAAGCTGGCCCAAATCAAGTCTTTAACAGATGCTGCCCCATAAGCATGCTAAAACTGAGAAATTASTTTTCACACCTTCACAACCTCTGACTCTTTTTTTATATGACATGAAAGACATTTGGAGCATGAATTTTGTGCAGTCACAGCCACATAATAGCTAATAAGATTCATATTACCCTCAGTGAAATTAAAAATAATAGAAATGTTTTCCCYATTTGGGTTGCAAATATTAGCAGAGCTGTTAAAACAGTTAACATCTCCCAAGGAAATTAAATTAATTCTCTAAAAGATAAAAAAATCCMAGAGCTCTACAATTCTCTTGCTGTAACGGGTTTTTTTTGTTTTTTTTTTCTTTGGTATAGGGAGAGAAAAAAAAGGGATCCTGTTAACACAACGGCCTTACAAACAACTTTTAAAAATTACTTTAACTTACTTGGAATCTTCATATTCGACCCACTGGTACATTTCCACATTACGCTTAAGTTTGACAGCCTGGATGGAGAGCCCATAGCTGGGGTCAAACAAAGGCTGAGCAAAAATGAAAGAAAATACAAGTCAGTGTAAATGCTGTACCTCACAAACTCAAACACTGTACTTTTATTACCAAACTCATCTACCTACCTCACTCTATACAGTCAGCACTATGTTACACACAGGTGTACACAGTATAAATGTTATAAAAGAAAAAAGGCAATGTCTCTTTATTTTATTAACAGATCTGACCTGAAGAATCATCATCCAAAGTAACTGCCATAGTGAAGAATGAAGGCAGAATTGCAGAGTATGGATTTACAGGTTTAAGTGTTTAAACCAGGAGATTCTGTTTTACTGGAACGCCTGCAATGTTGGCGAACCATGGAAAATGTCGCCACTACTGAAAAGTCAGAACTTGCAGAGCTCCTGTKCTGCAAGAGCCTGAAGACTTTATARTATCATGAACATTCAAYAAGGTCCATACACAAATGGCAATTGAAATTATCCCTGAAAGGCAGTGKGAGGGTAAACACAGCTAGAGCTGGMATGTGGCTTGGGAGAAGTGAGTCTAAGGCTATTCAGCATCTCCCTGATTCCAGGCCAAGAACYGAAGCYTGAGTGGTAGCTGGCAATGCTTAGAGGAGGAGAAAAGCCACGTGTCTTCTCCTGGATATCAAACAAAACTTTAACTGGCAAAGACTTTTCCTTTCCTCCAAGCTTGAAATACTCATATCCTCAAGACACTATTTTACTTACCTTAGATGTGCTCAGAGCACCAGCCAAGTACACCAGTCTCCCTTCATTCTSCTGAGAGATACTGTGGATGCTGTCAAGAGGGACCACAAGAGAAAACCCCTCATCGAGAGACTTGGCTGTCCTTAARGCTCGTCCCTGGAATGCAGAAAACAGAAATTAAGTTGTGGAGGATCAATGGCACAGCAGTACTTTGTGAACAAGGGTAGCCGAYAAGTTAACTGATAACTACAAGGAATGTTTGTATATTCAGCTCAAGGCATATTTTTCAAACACTCTTGTACTCCTCCACTCTCTGTGTCTGACCCAGTTTGGGGCAGGACTTCTTTGCTAGGCAGCAGGACTATTAACATTGATTAAGCTTCTCAAATAGACCCAAATTATTCCAACAAGGGTTCAAAGTTATTGCTCTTCACCTCGTATCTTGTTCATCATTCCTAAATAACTGCAAAATGATACAAATTATGGTTCATTTTTCCACACACCTGTATTGACTCCTTGGCAGTTTTCCCTGCCTTTCCATCATATCCTAGCATGCTTATTCTGCAAAGTCATCAAAATGGGAAGTAGTTATTTTTCCTCTTGTAGAGGTATGAAAGGAAGCCTTAAGTGAAAATTCAGAKAGTTCTGCTCCCCGCTCCAAAATTGCCAAAACAAGTATGTTTTCAATGGTAGGGTGCTAAGATTCCTGGCTTACCTTTTACTTTTTTTTTATCTAAAACCAGCACACAAAATAATATTGAGAATAAATGAATAAGTAACACCCCCAATTTTGCAACATGGAGTATAAATTCCTTTAATGTAATTATAACAACACTAGAAACTTTTAGTTATCTCAAGAAAAAAGARAAGGCTGGAATGTGGCTGGCTCATGCAACCCTCTTAGCATAGACTGCACAGACCATAGTTTCTGCATCAGTTTACAAGTTTTGGATCTTATCTCACATCACACAYTGGCCCTGTCTCTACCACACCCAGTTCTACAGAAATACTACCTGTGGCCCTGTGATTTCACTTTTCTGTTACATCACAAGCATAAGCACCAGGTCCCCAGACAAAATCTCCTCTTCTCATGGATTAGGTAATAAAGCTGTGTACAAACACTGACAGTATTGCACTTACTTCATTGGTAAAAAGAAGGTAGAAAGCCAGAAGAAATGACACAAGTCCCATCAACATGCCTCCAGAAGTCTCACTGAGCCGCTCCAGGAACCCTGGTTTGGGCTCGCTTGTGATTTTAACATGCTCTTTTCTGCTGCCTGTGTCAGTAAACTGTTGGAAACAAACCAGAAGTGAAATATTGGTGTGAAAGGGGAAAGCATTCAGTTTCAAAACAAGTCTTCTAGCTTTGTTAGTACTGCTACTCTACAGAGCAGAACTTCTTGGACCCAAACTTTCCCACACTTAAATGCCTTATCACACTTTTGATACCAGGCAATAAATAAAACTCCAGCCTGATAGAAAAAAACAAAAACCCTCTGTTTCTATTAYAGTGGTTCTAGATGTTCAAACTTTCTTCGGTCTGTCTCCAGGTTCTGTATTTGGTGTCCACACCCTGTATTCAGGCCATGGCAACTGAGTAATAGCCCTGAATTCCTGACCAGCTAAAACATCGCTATAAATAACAAATTATGATTCACCTCACCAGTGAAAAGGGTGCCTGCAGACTCTAAAATAATTATATCCAAGACAACAATAACTTCAAACGAGGCAGTGACCCAGGACAAACAGGAGAGCCCAGGGGTTTATTTGTGCGTATGCGGGCTGTGGGCACACGCACAGAGCCAAGGCAGGGCATGGCGCTCCTGCGGCTCACCCGGAGATGCCGGCGGGCTGTGCCCGGCACAGAGCTCTGCCCACAGCCCTGGCACCGCGGGGCGAACGGGCCGAGCCGGGCGGCGCCACACGGAGCAGCGGCGGGGCCGGAGCGAGCAGCACTTACGTTCCTCGACATCCTGAGACTTTCACTCCCACCGGGAAGCACCACTCAAGAACCGCCAGAACCGCGCACCGCCAGCCGCGCCCTCCTCCGCCTCAGGGCTCTCCSGCCCCCGGGCCGCTCCCCGCCCGCRGCAGCGCACGCCGGGACGCGTAGTTCCCGCCGCGGCTGGGRAGCCCTTCCTTCCTCCTTCCCTTCCTGCCTCGCTCTCTCCCCCAGTGCGGCCGGGCGCGGGCAGGCGGGAGCTGTAGTGCGGCCGGCAGGAGGTGCGTCAGCGGCGGCGGCGGGCCGGCAAGGCGCTTCCGGAGGCGGGAGGTCGCGGCGTGGAGCGGCAGCGCGGCGCTGCCCGGAGCGGGGCTGGCGGSACGGCAGGAGCGGAGCGGCGGGGCCCGTGTGCGGCGCGCTGCGGGGGAAGGCACCGGCCGGCTCCGCCATGTCCTACTGCAGGCAGGAAGGTGCGCACGGGTGTCCTCCCAATGTCACCCCGCCGGGCGGGCTCGCCGTGAGGCGGCCGGGGGTGGGAGCGCTCCCCGCARCCCGTGAGGGGAAGGCACCGCCGGAGGGGAGCAGAGGCACGGCAGCCGCCCGTGTGTGCGGTCCGTGTGTGGCGGCGGCAGCGCTGCCTCGCCTCCCTCCGCCGACCTTGCTCCTGACGGAGGGCGGGAAGGGCGGCGGGGCCATGAGGCGGCAGCGCGGCCTCGCAGCGGGACGGGAGCGGCCGGAGGGGCCCGGGCTGCCCCAGGGACCGTGTGTGGCTGCGGAGCGCCTGAGGCGTGCGGCACGGCAGCTCCCGCCCGCGGAACGGCTCCTGCCCGCAGGGGTTACATTCATCCCCGCCTGGCTTAGTGGCCAGAGGTGTAGGGTTTTACCATTTTAAKGTTGATGGACTGGGTGGGTGGAGTGCGAGCTTTACGTTTCTGTACCTGTATCATGCTGTACARGTTGTGGTATTTATGAGGCTTGACCACTTTTAAAATAGGTGTCTATATATCTATAGCTGCATATTTATGASGAAATACCTTTGCAATCTTAAGTAATGTGAAGTGGCTGAATGTAAAGTTTCAGGCTGGAAATAAAGCGCCATTCTATAGCCCTAAGTGTAATTTTYAAGTTACAAACTTTGGCTCAATGCTGATTATAAACTGTAGTGAGGTAGCCATAACCTATGAACCTCTTATGCTTTAGGCTSTCCTTTGTTTAATATTGCAAGATCTGTAAGTTGCCTTATGCARCCCTACAAATTGCMSTGATGGGGTTAGAGTTCATGTGTTYCTAGCTCCTTTTATATAAAAAAATGACTGAACATTCCACATTATAAAGTTTGCTGGAGTGCACTGCAGTTGTTTGAAAACTCTTCCCTTTTAAAGAAAGTTTTAGATTTATCTGTTTCTCAGACATATTTAAATGCATGGTTACCAGGCAGAGAAGTTACTGAGGTCACTGTGCTGGCTGAGGTCACTTTGAGGGGCCAGAAGGTTCTAATTTCTAATAGGCCAAGTCACTGTAGTGGCCTTTATTAATTTCGAGAATTCTTATGGAATTTACCATTTTTTTCCACTCAAGGAATACTCAATTGTGCATTCAGAAGAGTTTCAGCTAGCTGTTCTCTGCTTGTGTGTGTCTCAGAGCGTGTGTTAAAACTGTGCAGAGTTTTCTAAAAACTAACACTACTCAAGTTTCCAGCCAAGCTTCCTCTGACACAGCTTTGGAAATTTATTGTTAAATCAAGAGCAGGATGTTTGCTGTGTTGGATTTCTATCCCTTGTATTGCTCACAGCACCTTTCACTGTAGTTAGTTCTATATGGTGATGGTTCTCTTCATTTTTTAATTCAGATGACTAGTGTAAAACATTGCACTAGTCTTTAGTGAAGAGAACTGTTATTAGTAAGTTCCTACTGAACATTTCACTGTTATTTATTACAGTTTTATTCTCACTTTACATTTTTTTAGTATAATCCCTTCATCTTTGTTAGTCCTGGTAAAGGAGTAATTAGTGTTTGTTTTGTAACAACTTTTTAATATAGCAGTGCAATGAACTGTACTATGATCTGCAGCAACAGGATGTTGCTATGAAAATTGGAGCTTTGGAATAACAGAATTTCAGTTTCTCTGAACTTTTGCTTCTTGTCTCCTCCATGGTAGGAAAAGACAGAATAATATTTGCAACCAAGGAGGATCATGAGACACCGAGCAGTGCTGAGCTGGTTGCAGATGACCCAGATGACCCTTATGAAGAACAAGGTCAGTAGTGAGCAGAAGAATGGAAGTAGGGAGTGTTACATCACATGTAAAACCAACAGAAAACAAACCATGTATGAATTAGAAAAACTTACTTATTTTTAAAGACTGAGGGCAGCAGGTTATTCAGTAAATGCCCAAGCTCTTGGCAGTTTTAACTGCCAGATTAGGGTATCACAAATGACATGCTTTCCTTGCCTGGCCTTTTTTCTACACTCTTATTTCTCAGTGGCCTGTTCAGATAATCAGTTGATGGCTTTCAGTGTTGGTTAGTAGCCAGGCATATCCAGAAAAACCATTTCTTTCTTTCATTAACAAAGTTAGAGCTTAATCAGTGAAAATTATGGTTGTTTTTTTCTCTGTTTTAAGTAACACCATGCAATTTTCAGAGGAGCTGGAGTGAGTTACATCACTGTCGTTAATGCGAGTTGTTCACCTGGCTGTGTGCACCTGAAATTGCCTTATTTAGTCATCTCTGAATATCTGATTTAATATCAATTAATATCTGGTTAATCCTATACTATAGTGGTAGCAATATAATAAATATCTTTCAGTGGCACATAAAATTATTGAGTTTTCAACTGTCATAATTTTGCCTTGAAAATATAGAAGTTCTCATTAAGATTACAGTTCTTGTATGAAGTGTATCTAACCTGCAAATTGAGATTTAAGAGAGCAGAATATTTGTAAGTCCAAGACTTCTAATGTTCTGATTGCAGAGTGTATTTTAAATTGTTTCTAATGGATAAATGAACTGATCTTCTGATTATGATGATTTAATAAATTTTGCCCTGGATTAATAATTATCTTGAACATCCGTGAGTTTAGGTTAATTTTTTTCTAATTGCCTTTATGTTTACAGGTCTTTTGGCCTCTTCACTTTGTGTGATTTCATTGGTTTCAGCTCAATTGAGATTGAAGTAAATTCTTCAGACGCTTTGAAATTTAGTTTGAAAGTGAAAGTTCCGTTTTCTAAAGTGGCTCTGAGACCTTTAGAGGGCAGCATTTAAGCAGTTTAGCAGCTGTAGCTCACAGGGTCTCTTTGTTAGCTAATATGGTATGTAGTGTAATTTGAGCCACACTTTCCAATGTCATTAAAATGTCTTTTTTTCCTACACGGATTTGTGTTGAAATGTTACTGCATTTATTTGCCTATTTTGGCTTCGTTACAAATGTATGTAGTCAGTTATATGTCTAAAAGTTTTGCACACCTGCACTGATAGGTCTGTTTAGTTTGATGTTGCCCCAGTGTGCCATACGTTTGGGTAATTAAAACTAGTAAAAATTAAAAGAACCACTTCATTCTTGTTCAAGTGCCATATTAATTTATTGTTCTTACGTGCTTTTTTGCTGGATATGGAAAGGCTGTGGTGATAAGAGGTGATGGTTTTTTTTTCCCCCTAGCAGTCCTGCATTTACACAATGTTAGGTCACTTTGTTCCTCAACAGTAGATCTGAGAATAAAATGGGAATAGCCAGAAGTTTATGGCAGGGACACCTTAGAGTGACAGTGTGTGTCTGTGAGATGCAAAGTGAGAAACTTGATAACTATGTTTAAATACTGTCACAAAGTTTGGGTGAGGCCAAACTTCTTGTTGTTTTTTTTTTTTTTTAATTAGTTTGTTGTGGTTTTTCATAGTATGTGGTAAGTTATTGCCGTGTTTTGCAGTCTAAAAAACCACTTGAAGACCCAGGGCTAAAGTGCATTAGATCAGAACAGAGATAATGGGCATAGCACACAATGTCACTGCATCTTATGGGAGTGAAGCTTATGGGCAGGAACAACATGGGTGAAATGGTTTGGAATATGTTGAAATGCTGAAGCTCTGGCTTGCATGGATTTTCTTTAAAAGAAAATTGGGAAGGATTTTGCTGTATTTAATGTTACATGAAAGCTTTTCTAGTTTAGCTTCTGCTTGGAATAGAAGACTTGGTTTCCAATGTTCAAATTCTGTTGTATAATTAACTGTAAGAAGTCTTTTCATCTTTTCTGCTGTGCTATAGACACCAGTCATATTTGGGAAAGAATAGATGCATTATATAGACCTACCATRATCAGCTATTTTCTAATACTCCTGAAATTTGTGTTCGAGGTTTTTTTTTTTTTTGGTATGGGCCTTTTTCATACTTGAGATAAACATCTAGTTTGGTATTGGGCTTTTTTTGTCCCAGACATTAACAGGCAGTAGTCTTTGAGCAGTCTGAGTCAGTAGATCATTCAAGAAAACTTGTGTTTTGTTTCCCTTGGGATAAAAAAAAAAGTTGTACACACTTCTTATTTCTATTAATACTTTGTTGTTGTTGTTGTATCAGTTAGGAATTTTTGGTAGGCAAAATGTTAATGACTCACTTTAAAAACACTGACAGAAAAAAAGCCGTGTGAAATGGAAAGATATACAAGCTGAAGTTCAGGTTAGCATTTCATACTGCAGAGAGGCTCACAGTTCACTGTCAGTGCCTTTTGACAGCTGTGGCTGATGGAAACAAATTAAGAATTCATTTGCAGCTGTTTTGAAGTAGTATTGTTACTGTAAAGCTTTCTGGTTCCATRTGTTGCAGATGGTGTAATTTAAACATGAAAGATTCCTGGTTTTCACTGACATTTTGGCTGCCATCAGTTAGAATACTTTCTTATTTTATGAAGCTTATATGAAGAAGGCACTGATGAGTTTTATGCATGCAAAGGGATTTTTATTAGTATTACAGCTGTGATGGGAAAGCTGGATAAAAGCACCTATGGAATTGGACCTCAAACACAGATTTTTGCTGGTCTTTCCCTTCTGTTTTTCCAGACTTGTTCCTGTCATCTTAGTTTAGAGACAGTTTTAAAGTGGTTTCTAAAGGKCCCTGATGAAGCCAAACCACACATTCTATTAAGAAATAATGAATGATCACATGTACAGGACTGTTTCTATAACTCATGATGTCCCTTTCAATCTTGCTTCCTGTCATCTTACMCTGTGAATCCCTGGCA